GAAGACCGACCTTTCGGGACAGATGACGTCACCACTGCCGTGAAGGTGGTGGTTGTGCTGGTGGTGTCGCGGGTAGAAAGTACATAACTACTACTGACCGGTTTGCAAGTAACAGAGGCTGAAAAATCTTGTGATTCGATTGGACCAAGCTGAACAGATAACGATTGTGGACCAGTGGAATAATGGTTCGAATCTCGGACAAAGGAACCCTGAGGATATGTGTCGGATCGTTGGACAAAAGCAACGGATGCAACACGTTCATCTGGATTCTGGTCGCGGCTGAACGATACCGATGAGTTTCGCATAGAGGGGTGAGTAGATAAACCCTGCTGTAGATTGCCACTGGGTAGGCCCGGACTACTTAGAAATTCCTTACGCAGTTGTGTCATCTTCAAGCGATGTTGTGCGGCTTCAGATGCGGTAGAATTCAATCCCACGTTAGAGTTATCCGAAGTCGAGGAGAGATCCACAGTCATTCGCACTTGATGAATCACACGATTCATATTGCAAAACAAAAAAAAATAAATCTAGAACGGATTGAGATATTTTATTAAATGCAATCTATGCGGGGTTCGTGAGAGCAATGCGGAACCCCAAATGCACTTTGAACAACAAATCCCGATTGAAGAAGTGGGTCACATTGGAACGGAAGTGATTATCTGGAAAAAAAACGGAAGCCTATATGACCCGAAAATTGAAGAGGCTTTCCTGGGTGATACTACATGTATCTCAAATTTAATTAGGAAATTTCGAACAATACGAATTGCAATAACAGGAAACAAGTGATTAACAGCGAAAAAGTTCGGTATTTATTAGATAACGCATTGGACTAGAATTACAGCAATAACAACTTTTTGAGTGTTGAGACAAAATTTCGAGATCTCAAACTTACGGCGAACTGAGGTGAACTCTGAAATAAATTGCCGGTGAATTATTAACTTTTACTTCAACCGAGATTTCATTCGTTGACCGTGTGGTTCAGGGGTGAGAGTTTCGACTCTGCTCCGGGGGGGGGGGGGGGGTTGAATCCCCACAGGGACGAGTTTTAGGAAGAGTAAAACAATGCCAGACTCCTATTATCAGCCATCAATCAAAAGTAAGTAAAATACATTTCAAATGTGGCCAACAAATGAACTCCCACTGAGCGAAATCTACAGTCAGTGCTCGTTATGATCGAATGGGCTCGCTAAGCTTACGATTTTTTGGAGAGAGAGGATCAAGAAGTTTTTTCTTTTCTTTGAGTTACTGTTAGCGGATTGAGTGTGTTATGAGACAGTCGTGATTTGGTCAGTTTGTTCCCTGCTACACTTCGACTAGCTCTGATCTATGGATATGTTTTTCTTGAAGTACAAACAGTATGCTCGAAGTTATGGGTCATAAACTGGACGTGTTCACCTGCAGCTCACGCACACAATCGGAACTTAGACTTTCCATAGCGCATTGTGTAACAGGTTTTTCGGATGTAATAGATAAAACATCACATTTGTGTGTCAATCACTGAGTTTTCCACAATTTGATGGAATAGCTGAATGGACTATTTTATTCACGCAAGATGAAACCAGAAAGAGAGGGAGGACAAAAAGATACTCGATGAAACAAATAAATTAGAAGTATTTTTTCAACACTTGCAACAGGGGTAAAAAAATAAACAACATATGCAAAATAGGAAGTTTGGATAACGCTACCCTACACACGGAAAGTCAGAAGCCACCGAACGTATACTACGACCGTTGTGAATTAAGGTTGCTCATAAACCGGTAGCAACTGTGAGATCGTTTCTTTTCAGTGACAAGGACCGAATCGAGCAGCACGAAAGATCAGGTGTAATCTATGCACTCCCGTGTCTGGGTTGCAACCAACACCACATAGGTGAGACAGGCAAACTACGCACTCGCCTACACGAACACAAGCTTACTCTCCGACGCACCGACCCGAGGTCACAAATCTGGAATCACCGAGCACAAAGATGTCAGGAGATCGCGAACGATAAGGCAAAGGTGTGGGCACAATCTAAGATTTTTTTATTACACGAAAGATGGGGGAACGACTATTCCTCGAAGGTATACACTCAGTTAATTCGTTTAATTGGCACTCGAGATTGACAAACATTACGTCACACTTACGAGCGCATGACGATTAATGAGCCTTTAAACACACAAACAGCACACAGTCGCATGAAAGACGGTAATCCCATTCTCTCATTCATTTCATTTACGTTTGACAACGTTATAATAAACATTTTACAACTCATTGTACGCCTCTATTAATTGTATTGCAAACGTTTCATCACCAATCGAGGTGACACCGAGTGTCCCTTTCCTTATATAGGTCGTTGAGTCATGTAGAGATGTGACGTTGCCTGATTAGCTGATGTTTGTTCGCCTTGTGTAGATAGGGGATGAGGTGGACGCGAGCAGTCTGACGACCGGTTGTTGATCGATCGGTCTAATTGTTACTGTCGTCCTGTTGTCACGTGTGACATGACCTGCCGTCTTTGCGCTGATTGGTCCTTTTGCTGCATGGGGTGTAGACTTGATCGATGTCAATGTGTCGGTTGACAGAGTTTTCCGATGAATACCAAGC